AGAGATCGGTAACGCAAGTTTCGCTTATTGAATCAATTGAAAATATGTGTGATAGGAATGATTCAACACCTGTCCACGTAGACATCTGGAAAATCCTACTACTCCTAGGACGACAAATAGGAAAGAATAAAGAAAACTAAAAAACGGCAGTTCCGAAGTCGTGTAATTATAGTTGATGAAATGATGATGAACAGTGATGAATTGTGTTCGAAACTGTGTCATCCAGTAAATAATGCTCTTTCACTGTGTGTGATATATTTAGTAGACAAAATAAAATGGAATTTGCACGCCTTTACCGGATATATGGAAAATTACAGCGAGTAATCGGGGGAAAAGGAAAAATCACTGCTGGAAGTTATGAAACTGTGTGAATAAATTCATATGATTCTCATCAATAAATTGTGCACGGATTGTGATCCGTTTATTAATATCGTGTACCACTTAATGCGTGTTATGTCGAATAAACTCATCAACATGTGGAGTTACCTTCGATGATTCCTCCCGGACAGCACACACTGCATACGACCGACATACTTAGCTCTACGTGGGCAGGTGAATTGGAAGAGAGGAGCTAAACACTCTGAAGAGAATCCTCTTCGAAAATGGTTATCCCAGAAAGTTTCATCACAAAATCTATGAATCTTAAACTACCGAAACCGCCCACACTTTCTTCTTCCAAAACACTCCCCTACCTGAATCTACAATTCAATGAAGACTCATCGGCAGAAATACCAAGAAACATTCTGTCCCATTCACTGAAGAAAACCTTCTTCGTGACTGAATTCCGACTAACCTTCTCTACGAAACCAATGATTCACATGGACTTAGTGAAGGATAAGCTACCACTGTTGGTTGGCCTCATCAATGTGCATCTACCAATTCACCTGCTAGTGTGGAGATAGGTATGTCGGCCGTCCTCAGCGTTTACTAGACGAAATATATGGGGTAATACTCTACCACAGTGCTAAAATCCTACTCTTACAATAATGAAAATTCTCTTTATCGATAAAATCATCTTCAGAGTCTGTACAATCGTATCTATGTTAACCTAAGATTGGTTGGAGGATTTCATCATGAACTAACATCAGTTAGAGAACAATTGGAAAACCAGCCACTGGTAGTCCTGGACAGCCAGCTGTTTCGTCAGCCTAGTTCACGGCTCTTCACCAGTACGTATCCATCACAGGTGGGTTCGAACCCGAGACCTTCTGATCACAAGGTTAGTGAGCTCTTAGACTATTAAGCCACTGGGAACCGATCCAATGGTCAGCCCATGAATTCTAACTTCTGCCAATTCGTGACATCGCGCGACCACTTCGCAATGTCTTCTTCGATGAGTTACTGCCTCACCTTCAACCTGCTGTACTTAAGACATATTCTAGTCTGTTGTTGAGTAACAGAAATGAGTGACATATTTGTTACAGTTGCCCAGAAGTGCTTTTTAAAGATTAAAAAGAATATTACGTAATAGTCAATGACACAGACGAAGTTAAAGTGTGAAATTTGATAAGAGTGAAAGTGTTTATTCGATGTGTAGCGAGGCAGTTAACTGCCTACACTTTCACAAGTGTGCAGAGTGTGAGGGAGAGAAGGAAACTTAGTGAAATGCAACACAGTGACAACAGTGAATTAATTATTGCAAAAAAAAGTAGGGGCAAACGCTTAGACCATGGTAGAATAAGCTAACGTCTACGCTATACACAAATGCTGAGACTTAACCCTCCTTGTACCGTTCGGTCTCACCTTGTAGGTGATTTTCTTAAAGATGACTTTGATCGGAGACTGTGTGGCCTGTGTCAATCAGGTGCTCGAGAATTGAGCTAATAGTAGTCTTACATTGTTCTCTTGATAATCATGCCGGATATTGTCCAGGGATGCATTTGCAAAGTGGGCACATTTTGCGGCCAATATAACTAACTCCACAGAAGCAAGTAAATTTATCAACGTATAGTGAAATGACCCAAAGCGGTAGTATATTTTGTTGTTTATTTTCATGAATAATCATCATCCAGACATTCATGAAAACAAAACATATAGCTCAACCTTTTGTGTATCTTTGGTAAACCATAAAGCCTTGGTATTATTGAACTTGTCGATTGGATTCGACCATAGAGATCGCAACTAATTAACTGATCAGTAAAAGGATTTCTTCATGAGCAGACATCGGTTAGAGAACCACTGGAAAACCTACCAGGGAGTACTGGACAGTCATTTCGTCCCATTTTGGGACTCTTCATCAGTCAGCACCCATTACAGTAGGTTTGAACCCACGACTTCCTGGTTACAAGGCTGGCAAGCTCATAGACCATTAAGCTTCTGGGACTCGATCCAATGGCCAAAATCAATATTTTAAAATTAACTGATCAGTTTTCATTCTTTTCAAGGCATCTGTAAGTTGTTTCTTAATCAGTTCAGTTTTTTCTCTTCCGTTGGGAGGTTGAGAAAATTTACTTTCGTTGGAGAGTATATTCTTCATTTCCTCCATATAGTCTTTTCGGTCCCCTAGGAACTACACCAGTTTCCTTGTCAGGACGGGTTATTAGTAGTTCTTTGTCGTCCTCTTAGCTGTTTTAATTCTTTTCGGTGCTGCTTTGTTAAGGGTGATTGCAGACTCTTGCTTTTGTACTGAGGCTTCCAGCTGCAAGTCAGACAAAGTTACTAAAGAGAAGTTCAAGACAAATTTCGTAGGGTCGTCAGGAGGTTTACTGTGGGGTTTGATCGGCTTCAGACTGTTGGTGATCTTGGCCAGAGCAGACTGTGACCTCTTTTTGGCAACTATAATAGCGTATTCCATAAGTCCCTCACGTCCATTCAGGAGTAATTCGTATAGGACTGAAGATCTTTGGGAAATATTCCGTTGGAGTTCCGGGATTCGTGATCGAAGGGAATCGGCACAATTCAATACATGATGTCTGAGTGACTTTGTATTAAGATATATGTTATTCAATCGCAATGCTTTCCAGAATCATTGACGCAATCCTTGGAAAAATTAATTTTTGTGTTCACTACAGCAACCTTGACAGAGTACCGAAGAAACCCATTGAGTTCCTTGACTGTCGGGGAGTCAAATATAATTGTAACGGGAGGAGATAAAGGACTCCCCAAGGTTAGCAAGATGTTAAATGATTGGTTGAAGATGGAATCTGCGATGGCTTCTAGGAATAAATCTCAAGGAGGAGGGGAGGAAAGTCGTATGTCCAAATGAGGAGTTGGACGAAATGCGTATCCTGAATTCCACTGCTACCAATCGCTATTCATATAACATTAATGTTATTTTATTCGGCGTGGAAATCTGCTGTACTCAGAATAAGAACAAAGGTTCGAATTTCTAACACTAATGTCAAGTCACCTCTTCCATATGGCTCTTAGATTTGGTGCAGGCGTCATGAAAATCATTTCGAACAGGCTTCAGAATTACATCAACAGCTGCCTTCGTTACCTCGATCCTGAAGATGAGATGGCCAGAAAGGATAAACGGTTAGGAACTCCGGCAACGAACCAACCAACAATGTCTTGCTCAAAACATATGCAGAAGGACATAGTGGTGGGCTGGACACACTCTGAGGAGATAGTCGAGTGACATCAAACAGCCCCCAACCTCTCGAGTGTGGAATCCGAATGGGAAATGACGAGTTGTGTGTCCAGTAGTGACGTTGGGATCGTGTAAGGACGAGATGAATGCTTCTGGGCAGTCTTGTAGCAGGGTAGGATGGACTTCAGAGAACAGGCTGATCCAAGCGAATAATAAGAAAAAGAAGATTTATACTGACAATAGAAGATTTACATGGGTAGCTAATGTGACAATAAATAGACAGTTTGTCATAATACCAGTCATTCTCTTAATAACTGAGCATTACTCGTGATCATTTCACCGAAATGACAACTTGATCAGTATTTGAGGTCCTTTAGCTCATCTGGTGTGGGGTGTTGATATCGAGGAGATCTTTTTCACCCGTCAGGTTTCCATTTCACCGTCAGTCATCACAAACTACAGTAGTCTGATATCTCAAGACTATCTCCAGACAAGTACTTCATGATTTGTAGGTTAGTCATGAGGTGATTTCAGTTAGAGAACCACTGAAAACTAGCAGGGTGTACTGGATAGCTGTTTCGTCTCAGTCTAAGGCTCTTTAGCAATACGAACTCATGACCCTGCAACGGGTCGAACGTAATACCTTCAGCTAACAAAGCGAGCCCATACACCATTCAGCTACTGACACGGAATCCAATTTTCCAATAATCCCAACTTCTGTCACCTTACGATGTATAGCGGAACCACCAACCAGTATTATCGGCGAGTATTTGTCTTCACGCCGAATTTGGTGGATTCGACTAGTCACCAGTCAGCACTAAATTGGTTTGTAAATTTAGATTTTCTGGGATTTTATCGGGTCCAAGATTGGTTGCCTACTGATAAAGAAGAGTTCCCTCCCCCCCAAAAAAAGGATAAGACAGCTACACAGTAATCCCTTGTGGTTTTTAACGGTTCTCTAACTGAATTCGGTCGGTGATCAATCTTGAAAATAAAAGCGGTGATTAATTGGAACTTGTTACTTTGTGAGTTGACATTTCTTGTGTTTTCGGGGCCAAATGTAGCAGATTTTTATCCCTAAGGGTGTTTAACGTTTCTGCAGGTTACAGATGTTCTTTGGTAATGAGTGGTAACAAAATGTAAGCACAGCATCCTCTAGACTGAATTCCCCTGCGACATTCCCACGCTCATCGTCTAAGTTAGGTGAATAGCGGTAATACATACCAGATGGATAGAGTTTTATCGATCCTTCGGTAGTGCTTCCTCAAAACATCCATTAACAATCAGATAAGATTGCTGAAACAACATTTATAATGAGCATGAAGCTAAAATCCAATGATACTCCTTTCTAATTACCTTCAGAAGTTCAATTATAGTTTTCCTTCGTAGATTCGATATCTCAACCGTAGCGCAGTTTCTTAAAGAAAATTTCATTCGTGGATTATGTTACTTTCTAACCTTCTTTTCAGATTAATCTCTGACAATGTCAGGCAGTAAACAATTAAGTCAGATCAAATCAACTCTGATGTCAACTCCTTCAACCATTGTGTACAACTGTCTCCCTTCATCTTATTCGCCTACATCTACAACCAATCAGAATAAAAGTATTCCAAGAACAAAAGCCAACTACAACAAAACTATTGACAATCATAATCCTCCTCATTTTATTCTTACTTCTGATAACCAGTTACATGAAAGTTGTGACAAGCTAAAACAGCTGAGAAGTACTCAAAAAAAGATGAAAGAAGTGACAAAGTCAGTGAATCAGTCTAAACCACCTGTCAAGTCAATTGTAAAGACACATGAAATGTTGAAAAAAGGCGATATAGTAAGTTACTTATTACTCATGTATTTTACTCATGTTTTTTATGGGGGGGAAGTGGTCGAGATACGTGAAACGGAAAGAGGATTAGTGTTGTGTGACCGTAGAACCCAGGGTGCACAACTGCGTGAGGACTGTCAAACACACATATACACACACACGGTCTGTAGGAAGTGTTTCTTGCAGTTGTGCTCGTATTAAGATTTAACCGCCAGGTATGGAAAGCCGTCGCCTCACGGTAATTTAAGTGATACAATTTTTGGGGTCGACCTTATCTAATCCATCCCGTTCTTTTAAGAGTGGACGGGCAGAATAACTGGCCTACTAGTCATCTGAGGGAAACATGTCACTGCCGTTGCATCCATATTCGCTAATAGTAAGGACCCCGAGCATAGTGGAAACTACTTACACTATACTGGTAACAGCTTTTAATCTAATCGCTATTCAAAGGATGTTTCTGGCATGACTGGACCTATGGGAACATTGATTTCAGCCAGTATTGCTTGTTAAGTTATTCCGAAATGCGAACCCAATCACCACACGGTCAGGATATTTAGTATTTTCTGTATAGAAGTTTTAGCAGTGAATTATGCGAAGAAATTACCTTTTTGAAATTTTACACTTCTGATTTTCACAGAATCGATACTGTCAACTAAGAACTGGGAAGTAGTAGTTGTTTTCGTATATGGAAAAAGCTTATAAAATCTTCTGCTAATACTGTAATGTCAGAAGAGGAGGGTCAGGCGACAGATCGTTTATTGAGAAAATCAACTGAAATTTATAGATTTTTATGTACATTATTGTCGGCGGAGAATCGATCTCTTCTGATTGGTTGTTTTCTTGCTGAAGGTTATTCCGTACTGCTTGTGACCATTTCTCAGAAAGTTAAGTCATATATCTGCGAATCATATTTGCACATGTTAAGTCTGCTGTGATTGGTTGTTGAGTTCCTCAAGGTTAAGCTTTGGTATTGTTTTTCTCGTGACCCTGTTTAGAGACATAACATCGACGTTTTACCTTGCAGACAGCTCTCACCACAATACTTCACTTATTTCGTAAGATGCGTCATCCCTAATAGACTAATTACTGAGAATTAATAGACAAAAGACCAGTAGTCCAGCGAAGAGTTTCTTTTCGATTGCGAATTCATTATCATAGCTGTACAATCGCAAATATATGCATGTTCGTTTTGTATGTGTGTGTACATTAAACTTGTCAAACGAAACTACTATTAGTAAGTTCAGATGAATTGGATGTTGATATAAGAGGATAGTAACAAAAGTGATGAGTTGTCACAAGCAATTGTTAAAGCAGAGTTACGTAACAACAACATGAATAGTTTGATGAAAGAGTTGTGCTCAGGGTGTACATGGAAACAAAGAAAAACATACGGAATTACGCAAGGGTTTTAAGTAGTTAGAGAAGTAAGCATAAAAACAATAGTTAAGTCAAATTAACGGAGTTGTTACCATGTGAGTAGAAGTGGTTGAATAATTTTCTTTTGTATGCATAGTTCTGGTTCTACCAACTGAATGACTAGGGCTTCTGCGATGCAAAGAAGACGGAAACGTATTGTCTTTGGCAGGTTGTTCTTCACTTTGTAGATTACTTTGAAGCAGGAGGCGTTTGTTGGGATGGAATGACCAGTGTTGACGAGATGTTTGCACTCCTTATACGGCCACTACTTCCTTTCTGCAGACAAGCTGGATAGTGTTCTTTAACCCTTTTTGACAGGACGACCGATGTACCTGGCTCCAGGTAAGCATATTTCCCTAACTACTTAAAACCCTTGCATAATTCCGTATGTTATTTTGTTTTCATGTACACCCTGAGCACAACTATTTCATCAAACTATTCATGTTATATGACGTAACTCTTCTTTGACAATCGTTTGTGACAACTCATCACTTTTTTTACTATCCTCTTATGCCAACATCCAATTCATCTGAACTTAATAATTGTATTTTCGTTTGACAAATTTAATGTGTACATACATATATACAGAACAACCATATATATTTTTGCGATTGTACAGCTACGAAAATGAATTCGCCACCGAAAACATACTCTTCGCTGGCTGATACGAGATATTATATTGGAATACACATTAATGCTCAAACCATAACAATGGCATCAATCTATGTGAGATCTTTGACTGTTCGTTAGAGCCACTTAGGGAGATGCGAACTGTCTGTTTGTCTGTCTATCAGGTGTCCTTGAGATACTACAAATTAATGTTTTGAAGACTGTTGGTGCCAGCTGGTGGCATACGTATTCATTTACAATGAGTGGAAGCTTTATACCCCCAACTAACCAAGTGGTTAGTGACTTTCTCACTAAGAAAATTTCAGCCTTATAATGGCCTACTGTAACCTGAAGATCCCGAGTCACACTGAAGAGTCCCGAACTAGGACGAAACAGATAGTTAGCTAGTTATGCAGTACACTCTGCAAATTAACACATGGAAGTCATTGTAATTGTTTTGATTTTCACTTTAGTTTTGAAAAAAATTCTTAAGCCGATGAGGAATTGTTTTTCACGCAAACCCCTGTCAAATCATTCATTGTATAATTGTAAAATAAAGGCTTCCTTTTAAACTTTTATTAGTATTATCATTTTTATTCTCACTTTATGTCCCTTATTTTGACGATAACTTCTTCTTCAGCTTCTGCAGTTATAACTCCATTATGGATGAAATTTTATATGGATAAAATGACACAGTGTAGTACAGTAAAATTTACTGATGACCACGTTTCGAGCACAATTTATTACTGCTCATAATCATATCAAGACATTACTCACATATCTTTTAGGTATTTAGTTATGCCTCATATGTACTGCCTTCAAATTCCAGGACAAAATGTATAAACAAACAGAAGGTGTAGCAATGGGATGGATCACCAATATCCCCTGTCGTAGCAGATATCTTTATGGATAGCTGGGAAAATATTGCTCTTAATACATTTATTTAATTCTACTCCAATAATATGGTGAAGATAAATTTGGATGACACTTTCACACAGTGTTAAGAACAGAACTTATCTCTAGTTTCTTGACACACATATATAAAATCACTAGTAAAGGGAATAAAATTCACATTTGAATCGGAAAATGAAACAGGAGAACCAGGTGAACTGCACACTAGCGTTTATAAAAAACCAACACATTCTGCGAATAGATATTTAGACTTTAATTCATTTCATCGGTCATTGCCTGTAAAGTCAGGCTTAGTTAATTGTTTGACAAGCTGAGCAGTAGCACTGAGTAGTACAAGAAAAGACCTAAATGATGAAATAAAACAGATAGAAGAATGGCTGGTCGGTATCAAATAACTATCCTATAAAATTCATTAAGAAGATCAGAAAAGGCCAAAAGGAAAATGAAAATAATGGTAAAACTAATAACCATAACACAAATAAGAATGAATATAAGGCATCTACAGTTCTGCCAAATAGAAATGGGACACCTGAGACCCTACATAGGATTCTAAATAAAGGAGGAATTGGGATGGCATTCAAACCTACAAACTCACTCAGGGACAAGCTCTGTAGGTTATAGGACCATGTCGGTTGACCGAATTAGACAAAATAATATACTTTAGCAAATACCTTGCAATGACTGTGAGTTAGGTCAACTACAAAGGTCAATCAAACCAGTAGATCAGGGGTAGTAAGATTGTGGGAACACAAGAATTCAGCTAAGATTAGAATGATTGACCCCAAGAAGTTAAGTAATTTAGAGAAAACCTCAGCACAACATTGCACTGCATACATAAACACACAACCACACAATAGGTTGCATGGGACAGAGTCAAAATTCTGAAAAGTAATCTAGGTAAGTGGAGATAGAGAGAGATTGATTACTGAATCCTGTCTGGTTCATCGATTAATCTACACCCAACACATGCAATAGAAGTGACTCAACGCAAATACCAGAGATATGTATGGAAGATATTATTACCACCACTCAAATCAGAGGAGGATAATAAATAATGTTAAAATGTAATCAGTTCATTTCACATGATAACATTCTAACAAGTTGGTTATTTATTTTACCATAAAAACATCTTATTTCCCATCTGATTGTATTTGATTGTTAACACTAATATTATTATTTCTGAATGTACTTTATCTTATATTGACTTGATTCAAATGTCTAATCCTCAAGTTTTACTGATGTATGTAAATGAAGCAAGAAAGTTGTGTGAGAACTGCCTTGATATTATTATAAGCAGCAATAAATTGTGGTCGAAATGTGGTTATAATCAGTAAATATAACTTGCTGTATAACACCACTGTATGATTTTATCAAGTTAAAATTTTACCCATATTGGAATTATACTTTACCATAGCGCCCACGCTTCATCCTTATATCTGCAGTTAAAGGTTCATAACTGCTGCTGTGGAGCCAGTTATATTTGCCATTACTCCAAAAACTTAGTTTTTCATGCTCGAGAACACCTGCCAATGTGGCTAACTAAATAAAGGTGTAGTAAAACCAACCATAGTTTGATATTAGACCACTTTTTCCAAACAGGCCATGAAGAACCTTTTTCCACCATCTTTTGGAAAATTCTGCTACCACTACCTACGACGACAAATAGGAGAGAACAAAGAAAACTATGAAACTAAAGTTTTGAAGTTGTATGATTATAACTGATGACATGATTGTGAACGACAATAAATTGTGTTCGAAACTTTGTCATCCAGTAAATAATAATACTGGTTCACTTTGTGTAAGATATATCTAACACAAGCTAATATGGATTCATCACTTTTAAATACTTGTTTAAGGAACTCTGGCTTCTTCTTGACAGTACTATACCATACCTTCCCTATGTCGTGTAGACAGTACTTTTCCACTGACCCTTTTGGATATCTATTGTCTCTTGAACATTCATTGGTGGGACTGATTTCCTTTTCTAATATTTTTATAGAGAGAAGCCTTTCTGTGCTCTCTAGTGCAGCGTTCTAACTAAACCTTTCTTGCAGCCGTTAACAGGGAAGAAGTGTTTGAAGTTTAGGTATTATCTATTCCAGGTTGTTTTGTACTGACTACTCTTTTCTATTATTCCATCTTCTTTTCTCTTCATGAACTGACAAACATTGGTTGTGAACGCCATTACCATCATCTCAAAATTTTGTATAATGCAGGATTACTCATACTACCACTACAAACACTGCATTAGACCTGACAATAAAAAACAAAACAACAACCCTGAAATGTTATTTTAGGGTTGCTTAGTGTTGTTTCAACCAAATAAACTGACCACCTTGGCGATAAACATTCTTAAATATCATTTCATAACTTCTTGTACGACTATAGATTTACTGTCACCATGTATAATCATATCATAGCTTCCACTACCCAATACTGAGATACTTTTGTATGCTGTTTATTTTCCTTTCTACTTCTTGGTATTTTCTCGCATTTTTTTATTATTATTTTTGTGTTGTTTTGCTGTTGTTGTCTTTATATTTATTTTTTTTGAAAATACTCCTTTTAAACGTTGGATAAAATTAGATGCAAATATTGTAGATATGTGCTGAAAATTCCACACTGTACCATTAGTACTGTTTCTGGAATAAAGCAAATTATTATTATTATTATTATGAATAAATCAATAATGTGTAAGTGATTGTTGACATCCTGCTCCATTGGGAACTTGATTTTTCAATGGGTACTGTTGAACTTCTGTAGCAGGATTTTTCTATTAATCGAATATGCTAAACTCTCCTTTTATGCAACACTTTTATTTTAGAATTCTAATCAGTTCAAACAAAAGTCGAATCCATCAGTTAAATCAACGCATCAAACAACAACAACAAGAACTGCAAAGAAATCATGCCATTTACAAGATTTATGTCTTGAAGATCGTCGTAAATTGAATAAATTAATTATGAAGCTTGCAGAAGCCCAAGAAGCGTTAAAAATAATGGATTGTAAACTTCAAAATCAATCTGTGAATAATAATGATAATGGTAGTAATAATATCCTAGAATTGAAGTGTCCAACAGACGGTAATCAAATCCAGTATTCACAACCTACACTTGAAGAAGGTACAGTATACTCTTCAAAAGCAGAAGAGTTGATTGTAAGTTCAAGTTTATTGATTTTCCTAATTTAAGGAATTATTGATATAAGTATAAAACTTGGGCACTGTGGTAGAGTATAACTTCATTATGGATAAGATTTTATTTTGATAATTCACACAGTGTTGCACAGTAATATTATGTTGGAGATTTATCAAGTGATTGACTGAGATGAGTGGTTGGATAGTACTCAAAATGTACTGCTTGCTACCCAGCCATGTTGAAGTGATCTAGACATCGGATGACCATTTCGTTCGTTTAGAGCCAGGGTCATTAGCAATGTATCCGGCTCTCATGAAGTCCACAGAGCCGAATCATTATAAACCTCCCGATTTCTGGCTAGCTACTTAGGAGAACTATATATTATTATTATTCCCTTGGGTTCTGAGTGGAACATAGGGCTTCAACAATACAACACACCTCCAATGTTTTCTATTTCCTGTTGTCCTCTTCACTTGGCTGGATCCACGATTGACCATAATCTCTTATCTCCTCCTCCAACTCATACGATTTCCTCCATGTCACCCTAACACTGACGACCCACTCGTCGCTTCCCATTTGGGTTCCAATCAAGCGATGGCTCGCACTGCGTGCGATGTCATTCGACGGCCTCTTCAACCTACGTCCGAACGATCCATTTCCATTTCCTCATGCATATTTATTGAGCGATGGGCTCTTGGTCGGTTTATTGCCAGCCAGAGTTTCTTGTTGGTAATTCTTTATGAATGGCCGGCTGTTTGGCCATTGAATCTTCAGTATGGAGCCAAATGAAGTGGGCAGTCGTCGATAAAATTCTCCACCAGACTGTTGAAAATGCTTTCCGTGTCGCGCAGTGCAAGTTTTTGACCCGTTTAAGAGAACTGACTAAATGACTGACTGACTTGACATTTGTGTTGAAAATCCGGATCTTGTTGTTTCTGCTGAGGCGGAGTGCAGAATATATCCAAACTGGTTTCAGGTTGATGAAGGCGTATCTTGCCTTTCCGATTCTGACCTGTTTTGACATTTTCATCCGTACTGTCCGTCTGCCTCTGGTTGAAACCCTGCTTCCTAGCCGGATAACTAAAGGAAGTAACCTCTCTCAAATTTCTCCTGTTAATGGTAATTGGTGCTGGTTGTTGTTGCTGTTGGTGGTTGGTTGGTTATCTTCATCACCTCCATCTTCTCTATGTTCACCTGGAGTCCTGTCTTTGCTGTCTTTGCGAAATTGAATATAAATCATCCATGCACGAAATCCAGATCTTCTAGAGTCTTCTTATCGATAAGTGCAGCGTATTCCTGTTTTCTCACTTCCTGTACACAGTATTCAGTATAATTCAGTCCACTATAATTAAGAATACCGTCGGTGATAATAGGCACCTTTCCTTTTCTTCCTCTTGTATTCACTTCGAACGCCTCGCGAACTGGTTAAAGCATAAGCCTAGTTCGCGATTTACGATTTATACAGTTTGACATGAAATTTCACCACAGTTTCTTTTGGAAACCGAAATTATTCAGATAACTAGCAATATATGGCCTCTGTAAATGGTAATCGAGAAAGCGAGCACATGTTCATGGTTGATTGATTGAGATGAATGTAACGATAGAAGACAAGAGTCAGGCAACAGATCGTTTATTGCGAAAATCAACAGATATTAATAGATTTTTATGTACATTATTATTCGTTATTATTAGCAGAGAAGCAACGTCTTCTGATTGGTTGTTTTCCTGATGAAAGGTTATTATGTCATCTTTTTGTTGACGTTTCTTAGACAGTCCGCCTACGCAAAGTCTGCTGTGATTGGTTGTTCAGTTAGTCTTTGTTCTTGTTTTTTTGCTCACGACAAAGATTTGGGACGTAAACACTGACGTAAATTGCTCTCTACCAATTTTGGCTAGCAGACAGCTCTCACCACATAAGTAGTTGCACAAAGCTCCCACTAACCAATGTGGCGCTTGTCAGGACATTGGCCAGATCGAAATAATTTAAGCACCAGACTGCTGTTTCGCTCATTTAATGCTGCCTCATTATCCGTGGTGTATCTGCCTTTGACTCAGCTTAGACAATCGAATCAGTTTAAACCACCTGACCTTTCTGTTAATTGCAAATTGCGAATTTGATTTATGAAGGCTGGTCACCTACTGTAACAACAGAAGACAAGGGCCAGGCAACAGATCAGTTTTATTACAAAAACCAACAGGTATTTATATGTATTTTATGTACATTAATAAGGCTCTGCCCGCAGAAAGAAGGCGGTCTTCTGATTGGTTGTTTGCAAACAAAGGCAGTCTTCTTCTGCTTTCTCGTTTTCGATATTTCTCGGAAATGCGAGCCACTTGTCTGCGAATCATATTTGTCCACGTCTAGGTCAGCTGTGATTGGTTGTTGAATCAGCCTAGATTAATTTCCATCAATCAGCGTAGATCAATGTCTACCAATTGGCTAGCAGCTTGCTCTCACCACACTACTACTACCGACTACTAACATAGCTAAGTAGTAGTATGGTGTCTTATCACGAAATATAAGGTCTCTTGTGTACTTTGTGCGTAATTTGACTTACCATTCAATAATAACAATTAGAATTAGACACATGTTATTGCCTAAAACCTGGGGATAAGTGTGAATGTGGCCGATTATTAAGGTGTGGTTCACTGTCTTCAACACTCCACTATTACCTAGTGAGTCTATGATTCGAGTTCCTCTCCACCCGCCTTAATTTTGCCAGTATGTGTAAATGAATGTAAATGAAGAATCTGTTCTAGTTGTTTGAGCTCTGAGTTGGATGTGTATTTATTATTATGGTTCTGCAAGAGGTCGTAAATTGTATCATATTCACTCTTTGTATTGTGTTATCTGAACTCTCCCGTCTTCCGCTCTCTTTCTCTCTATTATAGATAGGTAGATGAAGCCGTATATTCCACTCGGAATCCAATTATTATTTATTTATTTATTTATTTATTTATTTATTTATTTATTTATTTATTTATTTATTATTGTATCCTTTAATTCCTAGAGGAACATAGGGATTCAGCCGTGCGTCTCCATTGCGTTCGGTTCTCTGCTAGAGTCTTCACCTGGCTCCAACCAAGTCTGCCCACACGTTTTCATTTCCTCTTCACATGACCTCCTCCAAGTCACCCTTGCACTGAAGACCAACTCGCCGCTTCCCTTTCGGCCGGGTTCCACTCGAGCAATGGCTTGTCTAGTGATGTCACTTGATGGTTTCCTCAGAGTATGGCCACCAATCCATCTCCATTTCTTCCTGCCTATTTGTTTCACAATCGGTTCCTGCTGAGTTGGTTCGCTCCCAGAGATCTCTGTTGCTGATCTTTTCTGGCCAGCCATCTGATCTTGAGTATTGAGCGAAGACAACTGTTAATGAAGGTCTGTAGTTTGTTTGAGATGCTCTTTATGACGAGCTGGCCGAATCTCTGATCCGTACAGTGAGTAGCACTGACTTCACATTGGAGTTGATGTTGATGTTGAGTGTTGCTGACCTCCACACAGACTTGAGAGTAGTGAAAGCTTGTCTTTCTTTTCCGATTCTTGCTTTGATATCCTCGTCAGTTCCGCCTGTAGTTGAAACGATGCTTCCCAGGTCGGTGGGTGAAGGAGGTTGTTTCTTTCAGGTTCCTCCCATTTATGCTGATTGTTGTCTGCATCCAATGGAATAATCATAATCATAATAATAGTAATATTGGTTTAAGGTATCCTTTACACTATCCATTACTTTATACAGAGTGAAATATGTCTAACATTTCTATACAATTAGTGATTTTCACTCTGTTAGTAGCATTTTATTTTTTTTGTGAAAAAGAAACGTTGCATCCATTAACATATTGACTTATTTCCATTCACATTTCCCCCCACCCCCCATCCCGGCATAGATCACCTATAAGACAAGACTAGAACAGTTAGAAAATGAATTATCCCAGTTACGTCATCATCATCATCATTTCAAAGGAGAAGAAGAAGACAATTATCTACCACCATATGTTGAAAATAATTCATCTGCAAAAAAATATCCTATTGAATTGCATCCCACTGTGATTAATGATGGTAAGTGCAAAATTATTTTTAAAACATTTTTATCAATGATTTTATCGATACTGGGAAAAAATGGAAATTAGGCAGAAGGTTGACTAATTCAGCAGGTCACTCACAGACACGGTGACTGAGAGCAACATTACCATAGATGGTGATAGTCTAACTAATTTCACAGTTGACTTGATGAAACATTTTTGGAAAGTCCTTCTTTACACAAGGACTTAACCAAGTTGGAGGTGAGGACATTGGTGAGCTATTATTATTATTATTATTATTATTGTTCCCTTGGGTTCCTAATGAAACATAGGGCTTCAACTGCACGTCTCCACTTGATTCTGTCTTCTGCTGTACTTTTCACTTGCATCCATGTTAGTCCATACACTATTTCAACTTCAACTCTTCACACGATCTCCTCCATGTCACCCTTGGACGTCTCACTCGCCGCTTCCCTTTCGGGTTCCACTCGAGCGTTGGCCTGACGCGCGATGTCACCCAGTGGCCTCCTCAGCAAGTGAGTGTCCAATCCATCTCCACTTTCTCCAGCATATTTGTTGAGCGACTGCTTCTTGCTTTGTTTGTTATCATAGTTCCTCGTTGGTGATTCTTTCCAGCCATCTGATCTTCAGTATAGAACGAAGACAGCTGTTGATAAAGGTCTGCGACCTGTTGGTGATCTATACATGTGGCAAACTGACAGAAGTTAGAATTCATAGGCAATCAGGTTCCCCGCCAGTAGCTCAGTGACGTATGAGCTCACTTTGAGACGTGAAAGTTCCGCGTTCGACCCCTTTTTGATGCGTACGGATGAAGAGTCCTGATGTAAGACAGAACAGATCTCCAAAAGTCCCTGCTGATTATCGATGCTTCACTAACTGACTTCAGTCCGTCATCAAACTTGAAGTCGATAACACTTGAATATTTTTAGATTTTGTGTTGATTTTTTTAAGCTGCTCTGAAATGCTTCTAGTACACATCCTTTACTGACGTTTGGTGGTTAATACAATGTCATTTGGTTGATCAGTATGATGATTAATGGAATCCAGGATATGCATTTCATCTTATCTGGAGGACTTATCAGCTGGATGTACTTGTATTCCTTCGAAGGAGTGACACTGGAACTGTGCAGTGATCGTTTCAAATGCCAAGAGAGGACTCTAGTGGCCTAGTGGATGGATAGTGCTTTTGCGTTTTTAAAACACTGGCCAGTCTATCTTAGCGCTAACAAATCAGAATCAAAGCACTACTCCTCAACACACCTCTTTTGGTAGAGCATACGAACAAGAATAAGTAGATAAACCCACCTCTAATGATTCTTAGACATTGACATCAAGATTACAGTTACACCTTTTAAAATAAGTAACAAGCTCTTTGTACTTTGCCGTAAAACGATCCCAATCTCCCATTAGATCGCCAACACGCAAGCCATTGCGAGTAATCTTTGAAGAATATGTTGGACCGAATCCTTTCTTTGTAGTGTCAATAAGATTGGCCCCTCTTACTTCTTCCTATTGAACAAAGTAATGAAACACATTCCTAGTGTGGTGAGAGCTGTCTACTAGCCAAATTGGTAGACAGTAATTTACGTCAATGTTGACGTTCTCAAGATTTGTCGTGAGAACATATGAACAAAGACTGATTCAAAACCGACCACAGCAGACTTTGCGTAGGCGGATACAGTTAACATATAGATGAACAGTCACAAATAGATGAAAGATTAACTTTACGTGAGAAACAACCAATCGGAAGACTGTGTTTGTTTGCTTAACTAAACTATAATAATGTACATGAAAATATATAAATATGCTTTGATTTCCTTAATAAACGATCTGTTGCCTGGCCCTTGTCTTCTGTTGTTACACTAGTACCTCCATACGATCCGCCTCCATATATATATATCAAATACTAAGTGGCATCTGTCAGTCTGGCAGCCAGAAAGAATTAGCAACGGGAAACTTTGTCTAGCGATGAACAAACCAACAGGTGAGAGCCGACTGCTCAATAAATCTGTAGAAGAAGATGCAGATGGATATATCGGGCATACGCTACTGAGGAGGCCATCGAATGACATCGCGCTCAATGCAAACCATTATTCGAGTGGAATCCCAATGGGATTGACGATTGGGTCGTCAATGTGAGGGTGACATTCAGGGAGGAGATCGTGTGAGTTGTAGGCGGAAATGAGAGATTATAAACAACATGGAGCTAGCCATCTGAAGAGGACATCAGGTAATAGAAGAAAGTGCGGGTGCGTAGTTGATGCCCTATGATCCATTCGGAACCCAAAGTAATAATACTAATAATAACCCTTTCAGCTTTCTACCCATTCTTGTCCATTTCTCATCCCCTTTCCCCTCCCACCTTAATTTCACCTTGGTTACTTAAATAAACACTTTATTACACTGTGAAGGACACCTAAAGCTATCCATAAAGTGAGTGATATACCCTTAATCCAACTCGTTAAAATTACTGTGGACAGACACTTGAGTTCATTTAAGAAATCGGACCCACTTCATCTTGCCGGATTTTGAACATTCTCTTTGCACATAGCTCTCTGCATGCGACTAAATAAAAGATTTTATGCTCGAGCGCTAAGAATAGTGTTCTCCAGTCGCCCTATGATATGCAGAAGCCTTAAGGACAAGATCTCGCATCTGACCACTTCTATGTGCATGTATCAGTTCACCTGCTGCTGAAAAGCTGAGTACATTGGTCGTCCAATCATATGAAAGACATAATCCAGGGTATTTAGTAGTCGATTTAGTTTCAACTTCAGTGTCTTTTATAAAATAACTGTCATGGAAACAGTCAAATCATTGTCATACTTAAGAAAATTGGCTTCCTTAAAATGAGACAAGTCATATATATATATATATATATATATATATATATATGGATTGATTAACAGTTCACGTAGTAATCTGTGGCCTAATAAACAGTGATATATTCCAATCGATAATCAATTATTTGTCTAAATGGTAAGTCACGTGATATTCAATAATCTGTATGTTCCAGACTCCGTACCTCCATTTCTTCTGGTCATAATAATAAACTAGGATGAAACAGCTGTCCAGCACTTCGTGTGGCTAGAAAGTAGGTCCTGAGAAGCTCTTTTCTGACATCTGCCTCCCTCTTCACACACTGAACCCGCGCTAAATATGGTGATGTCGTACGTCTCCACACAAAACCTGTGCTAAGTATGGCACTATGTTTGGATTTTTACATTTAGCTGTGTAAGCATAAATTCTTATGAAGATTCCTATGGTTTCACCCTTAAAGATATACTAGGAAAAAGTTGAGAATAAAAAGGATGTTCAGTATCAGATGAGATAACTTTAGCCAACTGCCTGCAAGAACTGAAGTGCCTATTGACAAGAACAATGTCAGTTAGTTGAGTCAAAGGCACACATACTACTAACCCTGCCTACTTACAGCCTTCTAGGGAAGAATAAAGTAGAATGGGCAGAATACATGAATTAATAAATTGTAAAAGAAGAGGTTGAGTTGAGTTATGCCAGCTGACAGTCTCAATTTTATTATGTAATAAGTTAAGCGAAAAATCTTCTTCGAAATCGACAGGATATGAGACAACCAACAGAGATTCGAAGAGAAACTGATACCGAGTGGAGGGATATTCGATGTACTCCCTATCACAGTTGCATCAGTATTACAGGAATCAGGGGACTGAATCAGTCCACGCATGCAAGTCTTTTTCGCATCTGAAACTGAAATCAACAATTTGACATTTCGATGGATTTAGTTTAAGACCATCTAAATGAGACCATTTGTTAACTTCAGATAAAAATCTGTTCATCATATAAGAACAGTCGAAAGCAGAAACCACTGGGGGAGAAATGGGTAATGCAAGATTTTAATGAGAAAATCACAAAAACTGTAGGTTGGTGGAAGCATAAGGAATTATAACCTAGATAGTATCATAGGTAATACATGTAATAATAATAATAATAATCTTAGCTTTTACTTTGCAGTTCAGATTACTGATTTAAAAAGTTTACAAGTTGTTTTCTGACATATGACTCTGTCTGCATACAAAACCTGTGCTAATTATAGTGTGGCTGAATTTTTATATTTGATAGCTTTAAGACCATAAATTCTGATGAAATGGTTTCTGGATTCACCCAGAGATACAAGGAGAACATTCTGAATGAAGAGGATGTTCAGTATCCGAGAAGATGACTTATGTCATCTTGTTACGACAGAAGACAAGGACCAAGCTACAGATCGTTTATTGAGAAAACCAAGAGATATTTATAGATTTTTATGTACATTATTATTTGTTATTACTAGTAGAGAAACAGCCTCTTCTGATTGACTGTTTTCTCGCTGAAAGTTAATCTGTCATCTCCTTGAGGTCGTTTCTTTGAAGCTCAGACCAAATATCTGCGAATCGTATCCGCCCACGCAAAGTCTTTGTCCTTGTTCCTTTCTCATGACCAAAATTTGGGGCGTAAACATTGACGTAAATTGCTGCCTGCCAATTTTGGCTAACAGACAGCTCTCACCACAATCTTACTTATACGTATCAACCAACGATAGTGTCAGTCAGTTGGTTCGAAAGCATAACACTAACCCTGTTTATAGCCTTAATAGTCCTATGTAATACGAAATGCTCATATCTGGGAATAAGAGGTAAGAATTAACACAAACACGCAGAATACATGAATCAATAAATTGCAAGAGAAGAGGTTAATTTATGCCAAAACATCTTGACTTCCCTATGTAATAAGTTAAACGAAAAATATTCATAGAAATCAACAAGACGTGAGATGACCAACAGAAATTCGAACAACAACTGATGCCAATATAAGAGACATTCGATTTACTCCCTGTCATCACTGTGCCGTCGATATTAAAAGAATCATGGGTTTGAACCTGTCCACGCAAGTCTCTTTCACGTCTGAAATCAAAATTAACAGTCTGATATTTATGGAGTAAACACAGGAGTCAGACAAGGGTGCTAATTATCACCAATGATATTCTTAATTGTGGTGGAATGGATTATGCGTCAGACAGTGGGAAACGAGAAGACAGGGATATCCTGGACCGACGTCAAGAACCTAGAAGACCTGGATTTCGCGGATGACTTATGTTTGATGTCATACAAAATCGAAGACTTACAAGCGAAAACCGACAAACTGGTCGAAGAGGCTGGCAGCAAAGACAGGACTCCAGGTGAACATAGACAAGACGGAGGTTATGAAAATAACCAACCAACCAACAACAACAGCAACAGCAGCATCAACATCCACCGCCAATCACCATCAACGGGAGGGATTTGAAAGAGATTACTTCATTCACTTATCTAGGGAGCATTGTCTCAACTACAGGATGAACGGATGGACGAGGATGTCAAATCGAGAATCGGGAAGGCGAGAAACACATTCATCAACCTGAAACCAATCTGGAAATCTTCGTCACTCAGCCTGCATCAACAACAAGGTGATTCGGCTTTTCACTACAAACATCAAGTCAGTTCTTCCATGCGGATCAGAAACGTGGTGGGTGACAAAGAATATTTCCAACAGCCTGTTGAAGACCTTTATCAACAGCTGTCTTCGGTATATACTCAAGATCAGATGGCCGCCGGAAAGTATCACCAACAAGAAACTATAAGAACAGACGAAACAGGAACCAATCGCCCAACAAATATGCAGGAGAAAGTGGAGATGGATTCAACACTCGCTGAGGAGGCCGCTGAGTGACATCGCGCGTCAGGCCAGTGCTCGAGTGGAACCTGAAAGGGAAGCGGCGAGTGGGACGTCAGTGCAAGAGTGACATGGAGGAGATCGTGTGAAGAAGAGTTGAAACAGTGTATGGACTAACATGGATGCAGGTGAAAAGTACAGCAGAAGACAGAAGCAAGTGGAGACGTGCAGTTGAAGCCCTATGTTCCACTAGGAACCCAAGGGAACAATAATAATAATAACATTTATGGAGGAGAGGTGGGGGAGGGATTCAGTTTATGACTATTTAAATAAGACCAGTAGTTAAGCACGGGGGGGGGAACTATTCATATCAGAACAATGCAAAGACAACCGGTACTGAAATGGTCAGAATACAGCAAGGAATTAGAACGCTTTCCATTACAAGTACTGTGTTGTTTCCTAACTGAATATAGCAAGGCGACCATCTTGTAACCCGGAACTCAGCGTATGCTGAACAATAGAGAAAAGTGGGTTGGATATATACATTAATAAATTGTCAGAGGAAAGGTTGTGTGTGTTATTCCAGCAGAAAGTCGCAACTTCTTCCTTATGTAATAAGCCTGACTAATAACAATCGATATCTTCTCATCCCTTTTAGAAAAAAATCTTCATAACTTAGATAAAGACGTCAATCAACGTGGAATGCAGTCATCTGATCATCGTCAGCCTCACTGTCATAATCATCAGAAGTTATTGTCTTTAACAAGTGATGGAAACTGTCAAAAGTCTAATAATCATAAAACTGCAAATCAACCTATTAGTAATTCTACCGACTTAAAAAGTTCTAATATTCTTCAAAAAGTTGAGAATGAAAATGAAAAGAGAACAAATGACTCTGCGGATGATATAAACAGGAATCAAGTAAGTGTTCCTGTCTGTATTGATTTTTTGATTATTGGTTTAAGTAAGGATTTTGGATTATTATTATTATTATTATTCGAGTATTAGTTTTCAGGGATTTTATCGGTTACAGTATTCATTATGAGCTGACTGATATCAGTTAGAGAACCATTGGAAGACCAAACAGGAGTACTGAGTAGCCAGTTCGTTCCGTTTTGGGATTCTTCAGAGGCTCGAACCCAGGACATTCCGGTTAATAGGCTAGCGAGCTTGTAGACCATTCAGCCATCGGGACCCGACCCAATGCTCCATGAATTTCAGCTTCTTCCAATTCACGATACACAGTGACCGCTAGCCAATATCCTCACGGGCGAGTGTTTGTCCTCACAATCGACCTGTTGTACCCCACTAGTAAAATTTACAGAAGTTGGAATTCATGAAACTTTGGATTAGCTGGATGGTTAACGAGCCCGGTAGCCTTGTAACTGGAAGGTCCTGCGTTCTAACCTCTGTGGTGGGGGAGTACTACTGAGGAGTCCCAAACTGGAACGAAATGGCTGTCCAATACTCCTGGTTGGTTTTCCAATGATTCTCTAACCGATTTCAGTTGATGATGAAATTTTTGGTTAATTTCAATGTACATTTTCATCATGAGCCAACTCACCAGTCAGAGATTACTGAAAACTACCTGGGGGCATTGGGCACTGGTCTGTTTCTCCCTAGTTTTGGGGATCTTTATTAGTACTCACCCGCCACCCTTCCAGGAGTAGAACCGACAAACTTCAGGTTATTAGATATAGCTCATTGACCAGTCAACCATTTGGGCTGGGATTTTATTGAACCATAAATTCTAACTGTATTGATTTTGGAAATATTCCTATCCCATAGTAAGTTTAAAACAATCAATAACTATGAAAAAAGAGCAGTGTTTAGTGAAATTCATCAATTCCGGTAAAGGGACTTGTCATCTGAGTGCTCCTCAGCAAATATTATCATTTATATGACTTCATGTCAACCTTAAATACATACAAACACATGAACATTGTGACAATCAACGAAAAATTAGTATCAATTTTAACTAACATACGATCTATACGTTTTGTGCGTGAATAGTATTCATCTAAGTATTACATATTCACATATAAACTGAACTTATTGTGGTAGAATTATTTCGCTTATAAACATCTAGATATGATAATAATATTGAAATACAAAGTAACTTGTTTTAATGATCAAAATATTCCCTTATTGAGTCAAAAGAAAAACAAGACGTAAACAGCGAAAAAAATTTCTTTTCGACGATTCATTTTCATGCGCTGTACAATAATCGCAATTGTATTTAACAAAGAAATCGTAAGACCAATCAGATACTGCTGGAATTTGTCCTCGACAGACGTGTTCCTTAATGTAATGTATAGTCTTGACGGAGTGACTAACTGGAAATAAGAAAGAGTGGGGGCAGAAGTTGGCATCACTTAATAAGTGTGAGATAATGACTAATCAGTAAGATTGCGTAGAATGTTTAGGAACTAGTGGAAAGGCAATAAAGTGTTTTTATATAAAATCTGTCAGAAGTCTAATAATCATAAAACTGCAAATCAGCCTATTAGTAATTCTGCTGATTTAAGAAGTTCTGATTTTCTTCGGAAAGTTGAGAATAGAAATCAAAAGAGAAAAATGACTTCTCGGATGATACAAACAGGAATCAAGTAAGTGTTCCCGTCTGTATTGATTTTTTCATTATGGGTTTAAGTAGGGATTTTGGATGATTATTCGAGCGTTGGTTTGCAGGGGTTTCCTCGGTTACAGAAGTGATCATGAGCTGACTAACAGCAGTTGGAGAACCATTGGAAGACCATCTAGGAGTACTGGATAGTCGTTCCGTTCCAGTTTGGAACTCTTCGACAGTACGCTCCCACCATAGAGTTTTGAACCCACGACGTTCCGGTTACGAGGTGAGGTCGTAGACCGTTCAGCTACTGAGATCCGACCCAGTGGTTCAGTAAATCCAACGTATGGCAATTCACAATGTACTGCGACCATTAGCCAATGTCATCGCTGGCGATTATTTGTCCTCATACCCAACCTGCTGTACTCCACTGGTAGAATTAGCAGAAGTTGAAAGTCATGGACCATTGGATCGGTTCACAGTGGGTGAATGGTCTACAAGCTCGCTAGCCGTGTAACCACAATGTTCTGGGTTTGAACCCTCTGTGATGAGAGTGTAGTGATGAAGATTCCCAAACTGGGACAAAACGGCCATCCAGTACTCCTGGTTAGTTTTCCAATGGTTCTCTAACCGATTTCAGTCCATGGTGAAATTTTGAATTGATTTCAATGTACATTTTATCATGAGCCAACCCACTAGTCACAGATTACTGAAAACTACCTGGGGCATTGGGCTGTGGTTTATGACTCTTCAACCGCGTGCACCCACCACCGTGCCAGGGATAGAACCCACAATCTTCAGGTTATGAGACCAAGCTGGTTGACCATTCTACCATTTGGGGCTGGGATTTATTGATCCATAAATTCTAACTGTATTGATTTTAGAAATATTTCTATCCCATAGTAAGTTTAAACAATCAATAACTGTGAAAGAAGAGCAGTATTTAGTGAATTCATCAATTCCGGAAGAGGGACTTGTCATCTGAGTGCTCCTCAACAAACATTGTTATTTATGTGATTTCATGTCAACCTTAAATACATGCAAACACATGAACATTGTGACAATCAACAACCAAGAAGTATCAATTTTAACTAATATACGATCTATACGTTTTGTGAGTGATAATCTGTTAACGTCATTATCAGAGTGAATTGCATTCATCAAAGTATTACGTATTCATTCACATATAAACTGAGCTTATTGTGGTAGAACTGATACACATATAAACATCTAGATATGATAATGTTCAAATACAAGGATTATTTATTATTATTGTTCCCTTGGGTTCCTAGTGGAACATAGGGCTTCAACTGCACGCCTCCACTTGCTTCTGTCTTCTGCTGTATTTTTCACCTGCATCCATGTTAGTCCAAACTGCTTCAACTCCTCTTCACACGATCTCCTCCATGTCACCCTTGCACCGACGAAACACTCGCCGCTTCCCTTTTGGGTTCCACTCGAGCGTTGGCCTGACGCGTGATGTCACCCAGTGGCCTCCTCAGCGAGTGTCCAATCCATCTCCACTTTCTCCTGCATATTTGTTGGGTGATTGGTTCTTGTTTTGCTCGTTCCGATAGTTTCTTGTTGGTGATTCTTTCTCGTCGGCCATCTGATCTTCAGTATAGAACGAAGACAGTTGTTGTTGATGAAGGTCTGCAACAGGCTGTTGGAAATATTCTTTGTGACCCGCCAAGTTTCTGATCCGTACGTATAGAAGAACTGACTGACTTGACGTTTGTATTGAAAATCCGAATCATTTTGTTGTTGATGCAGGCTGAGTGACGAAGATTTCCAGATTGGTTTCAGGTTGATGAATGTGTTTCTCGCCTTCCCGATTCTCGATTTGACATCCTCGTCCGTTCCTCCTGTAGTTGAGACAATGCTCCCTAGATGAGTGAATGAATTAACCTCTCTCAAATCCCTTCCGTTGATGGTGATTGGCGCTGGATGTTACTGTTGTTGTTGGTGGTGGTGGTTGGTTGGTTGGTTATTTTCATAACCTCCGTCTTGTCTATGTTCACCTGGAGTCCTGTCTTCTCTGGCTGCTTCTTCGACTAGTTTGTCGGTTTTCGCTTGTAAGTCTTCGATTTTGTGTGACATCAAACATAAATCATTCCTTCAACTGAATAGCCAACAAAACTTCATTGACACCCGCTGCATCACGAAACGTTCCAAAAGCATGGAGAAGATGATCACTGTCCAATTTATTCTAGCGGTTCTATTAAACACGGCAGTGATAACATCAAGACTCAAATTTACCTCAATAGTGCCGTGAGGTGTGCAGCTAGCTAGCTATACAGGGAATGTAGGTTTCTAATTACAAAAAAAGTGCTGTAAGACAAAATTTGTTAACCACAGTTGTTCAAGTGTAAAAAGGCACTTTAAAATCGAGGAGGAGAATATTCCTGACGGGATGGGATCATCAAAAGCTCTGTCCACAAGAATCACACACCAAAGCATTGCTAATAAGGTGAGCAATATTGAGGTTAGGCACTGGTCGAGTGCTAGGTAAGGAAGGGCTGTGAAATTACATTGACTGAGATGGTTAGGACATGTGTTACGTATGCCTAGTCATTGCCTTCCTCGACGGGCAATGTTAACTGATATAGGGCCAGGCTGGAAAAGAGCTAGCGGTGGTCAAACGAAAACATGGCACCAGTCAATGAAATCTACAATAGTTAGTCCAAGCCACGTAGGAAGGTGTAGACTTCCTGATTGGTTGGGGTCCTCGGGACGGTAAAAAGCAATGGTTGGAAACAATTGGTGACATGACTCAAAATTGTTGTCAATGGCTGGAGCAGATGCATCCACTCCTTATGACTTATGATTTCCAATGAAACTGTTTTGTTCTTCGTTATTACTATTCCTTTGTCTCACACCTCTGTTTACTGACTATATTATGCATTTCTTCTCTTGCTTTGTGTGCTACAAGGAGGGAGTGTGGCGACTTGAACTGCCGCACATATGTGCAAAGTTCTATGTCGGAAAGAGACAGACAGACAGACACACTAAGGCTTACAGCAGGCAGTCCTAGATCAGAATCGCCTTCATTCACTCAAACAAACTCATATTGTTAAATAACATATACTGTCAATGTACACACAACCACAAAGAGAAGTATTACAATTTAAGATTAAACAAGTCAAGGCAGAGGCAAACAATAAAGGTCAAAAATCAACATGTGATATACAAACGTAAAATTAATGATATTTAAAAAGCAAAAAGAATCGGGCGAAGAAATATCTGCTTTTCAATTAGATTCTCATCTCACTCTGTCTCTACTCTAATATATTATGTATAGCATTTCTATCGCAGATAATATATGTCTAATGTCACATAAACTCGAAGACGT